GACCCTGCAGAGGGACAGGGCGGGCCCCGCGGAGGCTTCCCGCGGGTATTGGAGGCTCACAGCTCCGTCGGCAGCGGGCAGGTTACAAATCAACAGCGCGTTTATTCGGCTTCACGGCATAAAATACAAACGGTAACAACGTCTTGAATACGCGTAGTACGAGTTCCGCGTGCCAAACGACGGCGCATGCAAACCCGCCTCTTAACAGAAAAAAAAACAAAAACAAAAAACCCACGTCGGCTACATAAAATACAAGCGCTTGAGGAGACAGGAGTGTTGCTGCAGGTCGCTCGTAGTGTTGCCTGTTAATTGGGCAGATTTATGAAGCACACCCAGTGCTGGTGGAAGATGCCACCAACATGGGAACGCCACACGCGTTCCCTGGGCGATGCGGTGGGGGTTACTTAAGTTTCTCTGCAAAGGCAGTAGAGAGGGGTAAAGCTCAGGGGGGGTTAACCGCCCCCAAAACTATGAATGCAGTAGCTCTTGTAACAGAAAGGGTTCGGTGTTGGTTGTGAACATCCACCCAATGGCTAGCGGTGGCCACGGGTAAAATCTTTAGGTTACTCTAGTTGCTAGGACCTGGATTCGATGGAAAACATCACCACAGTTGTTCTATAAAAAAAGATAAATGTGCAGAAAGAATACAATACATTATGGGCCTGAATCTGAAATCCCAGCCTCAGAAAAACAGGTTTTTGTCAGCTATTTTAGCAGTATTGGGATCCTTTCTTGGTGCAGCTTACAAAGGCCATGTCAGCACTTCCCTCCCTCTTTCAGTCTTCAATTTCTTCTAAATTCAAGCATTTTTCTCTCATGGCTTTTGCATTATTATGCTAAAGAAAACTCTTAGGAAAGGACTTGACTTCAGTACTTTAAGAAAAGTAGCCATTCAGCTTTAGTGTTCAGCCCCTCCCCCTTTCCTAAGGAACCTATTTTGTGCTGCCCAGACATTTTCTAGTTTTAAAAAATAATAAGGAAAAACGAAGGCAGGAGATGAAACAGTCCAAACCTGAATGACCAGAGGAAAAAAAAAAAAACACAAAAAACAGTGTGTGGCAATCAGTCTTATTTTGCTGTAGGGGAGAATGAAAACTCTCTTGCTTTTCCTGCAACTATCTCTGCCTGCAGACAGAAGGAGAGGACGCGCCATTAACCATCTGCATGTGCAATCTCAGGAACCTGAAATCCTGACCTTCTGCCTGGGGGCTGCTTCAAAGGCACTGCCATCACCACCGGTCCTCAGCCAAGCTGGTTTGATAGCCTCCATCTCAGAGGAGGTGGTGGAGCACCCAGCTGCCTAATGAAGCAAGCAGCGGTGGTCATTAAAAAAAACCCTGTACCTCCATACAAATTTGGGCATGGCTCCAATTGTGGCTCTTTTTTACTTGCTAAAGGGCCATCCCTGTTACGTGAGCAGGATGGTGAGGAAGCCCTGACCAAGTGCATCCAAAGTCACGCAGCGCTGTGCAGGCCTCGCAAAGGCCCTGGCACGGATAGCTGCGCCGAGCACAAATACTGTTCAGGGTTCAGCCATTTTCTTCTCAGCACTGTAGAATAAAACACAAAATTACTCCAAATGCGATCAGACAGAAAGCAGAGCGCAGCTCCTCATTTGCAGGATTTAGGATTTAGTTGGGATATGTACTAACGCAAAGGCAGGTAGCGTGGAAATTGTGCCATTTGAATGGGACAGATTAAAGCATTAAATATAAGCTCTTTAGTACTGTTACTAGCACAATCCTGGCTTATTAAAACAAACTAAGCTTCTTAAAAGTGAAACTGCCCTTAAATGAATAATACTGTTTCACTTCCAGTTCTGACAGAACTGGCTTTGTTGATTTATTTTCCCTTTCAAGTCACTCCCTATTCTTGGGTCTCATGTAGGAATTGCCATTACATTTTGATTTATTTTGGAAGTTAAATCTTCACTGTCAAACTGCCTTATGTAAGTCTGAGATATCAGGAATATTCTTCTCCCTGTATTACAGTGGGGAAAAAAAAACCAACCCAAACCACAGAAAAATGCTTGCCAAATCTGACCCCGGCCCCAAAATACTCACACTCACAGCAAGGAGGCATGGAGTAGTGCCATCCCCTGATGCTGCTGCCCTGCCATGGGGAAGGGGACAGGTTCCCAGCCGGGAATGCTGCAGTACTGAACAATTTAAGCAGCGGATAGGGACGCAGAGCTGGCCCATAAGTCCAGCCAGCTGGGCTGCTGACAAAGCCCGGGCACTGGCCCATGGCCACCTGCTCCTGTTTTTTCTGAACTGTTCTCACTTTAAAAGCAGAACAAAAATAATCCTCCCAAACTCGAAGATCCCTACTGTGAAGAAATACAGGCACAAACTGGAGAGGACTGGATTGCATCACTCATATATGAAGGTCACGCTCCCACTGCCCACAGTCATATTTGTAAGGTCTGATTTAAGATCTGATTTCCTCTAACATGCCATTGAGCCATAATTAGGCAGCAGGCTGGAAGTTTGTCATCCAAAACTACCAGATACATATTTTCAAAGGCACCAAGAGTTAATGGAAGTCATTTGATTTCTGCATTGGCAAGCTCTACTGGCTATTGCAAAGTATTAAGCTGTGTGCATTTAACTCCAGAAAGGCAAATAGGTTCCTACTAGTCATGACCTGGAATGGCCTCTTGCTTTCCTAGCAAGGCTCCTTAATAAAACAGGGCAATAAAAACAGGTTTAACATTGTTAGATAGGAAGCACAAGACTGCTTCACGCATTTTTTCTGCTCTGAAAAACAGCCCTTGCCAAGAGGATAAGGGAGAAGATTTATAAACCCCCATCTCCAGGGTGTTCCAGTCCCTGGACTCAGCACCCACCTACGCGTGCCGTCTGCCTCGTGGACAAGGTTTCTGACCTACTGACAAGTTTGTTTCTTTAGCAAGGCGACAGACATGCCTCCCTGCAGCCCTCCTCACCCGCCAGGAGGATAGGAAGCGCTACGGGGATCAGCTGAGCGATGCTGACATGAAATTGGAGGGAAGCGCCGGTAGGTCAGGCGCTGGCTTTGGTAGAAGGCAGCGATACGGCTTTGATGCTAGAGGGGCAAGCCCAGACATTGCTGACACGCAGTCAGCGCAACCTGTAACTCACTCCCACACCTTCACTTCTCCTACTGGGGCCAGCCCTCTCCTCCTCCCTGCTCCTCCACAGCCTCTCCTCCAACCGTGCAGCTCTGCCGGGAGCTGGGCAGAGCCACAACAGCAAGAGAGGGTCTGCAAGAGTGTGGCTCTGGATGCTGTCTCAGGCACGCTGCCCAACAAGTCGGCTGAGCCCTATATGGCACTTTCCAGGAGCTTAAAGTATGTGCAGAGGCTGATAAATTCACCCTTGGCAAGGCAAAGAGGCTTTAGTGTCCCTGTTTTTGGAACAGGGAAGGTTTGAGCTGGAGACATTAACAGGCTTGGCTACCAGTTGACAGAGTCCAGATCAGCCCTGGGGAGCTCCTGGTCCTTGCCGTTCCTTCAGACCAGGCTCGGTGTCTCCTTTTCAGCCTTGCTGCTGAGCTCGGGCACCCAAAGAGACGGATGCAAGGCCATGAAATCCACATCCTGAAAGATTTGGCAGGGAGGAAGGTTAGTGCAGATGAGAGTTAAAAAAAAACGGCGACACAAGAGCTCGGTCCTTGTTGCCCTGGCTGCTGGGCCAGCCACAGCCATGGCTCACACGTGTCCTGTGGTGAGAGAGGCACAAAGGCTGGAGGCACCAGTAAGGGCCAGTGGCCAGTCGGAGGCATTTCGTAAGAGCCCAGCCTTATCTGCGGCGAAAGAGCAAAAGCAGGAGGACTTCGGCGTAAGACCACAGACAATAAGAAACGCTGACCTGTGCAAACTTCCACGCTGAGAAACAAAACCAAAAAAAATAGTGGTGAAGGAGAGGTGAGCGATGAAGCATCCACCACGCCGGGATGGCAAGAGGCCAAGCCTGTTGGGTGAAGTTCGTTGCATATGTGCCGATTTGGGGCCCCTCTGCACCTCCTATCACCAGCGGAGGAGAATTTAAAGGTGGCTCCACTGATATTACACACTCTCCATCTGGATAAAACCTCATGGAAATGAAATGTGAGGTTAGTGGAAGACCTGGGTCCCTCCCAGATGCCCTGTGAAGTGCACATGCACCGTGCACTCAGCCACCGACCAGGGCAGGGGGCAAGCAGGATCCCTGGCCTCACTCTTCCTGCGTGGGAGACAGGCTGCTGGGCATCAGCTGGCCGGTGGCTTGCGCCCCCAGTCACGGGTGTCCCCTCTTCTGCCTCTC